ATACCAAAAAAATATACATATATATTCAGCACATGAACAGGAATTGGGTAATTTTTCTCTGAAAACACCTGCTGTATTTGGACAAGTTTAAAATTAAATGCAGAGATTGCTCCAAATATAAAGCAGATCTTGACACTAAAGCCTGCTTTAGAGTAAAAGTCTCTATATCATTAAGTCATATTTACTTTTATTCTAAGAAAATGGAAAAAGGTTGGTTATCAAAGAAAAATATTTTATGTTGATTCTTCGGATACGTGGGCATAAAGTAATAAAAAATAATGCTGAACTACAGTAAAATTCAGCGTAATTAACAGAAAAACCCTTCAGAAGTTAATAGGCAGCATTCAATTATTAAACAAAAAGAAAGACCGGCATGTTAGTTGCTGAGACAGGGTCAGGTTGGCTAGATTATCTGTTTGTCAGTCTTCACGTCTTGCAACAGATTTTCCATTGTGTTTAGGTCTGAACTGTGACTGGGCCGTTGTAGAATTATGTTTTGTTGTAATCCAGAGGCCTCAAACTCTATTGCTCCAGTAAAAAAAAAACACTAGGCACATCACTTATCTGTCCATCCGGCTCGTGTTCTCTCCATGTTCGACCCAGAAGGTCGTCGGCTGAGTTCCAGTCACAGCATGACAGTCTCTAGTTGAATCTAATGTCCACTGAGGATCTGTGTTCTGCAGCGACTCTCAGTCAAAGCGTTTAAACTTGTTTTTCTTCCAGCGGCCCACAAATCACTCATCCTCAGCATCCAATCATGTTCCTGCTATTAATATAATTATTTAATTCAGGTGTGATGAGTCAAAAGCACATTTCAAAGTTCAACTGTGGCTACCTGTAAAATGGAAAACTTCTGCAGGCTTCAACTGGTTTTCTTTCAGAATATAACTTTATTTTGCTCCGTCTATCTTCCTATCAACTTTAACAAAAAACATCACCATATCATTATGCCGCCTTCACCATGTTTCACTATTCTGATTGGTGTTCATTTCAGCTGTGTTAGTATTCTGACAACCAAAGTGTTTCGCTCGTATCCTGAAATGTTGATTTTTCTTTGTTTCTCCTACACAATTTGAGTCCAACTGCAAAGAGGACTGCTTTGATTTATTTTTCAATCTTGACATTGTCTTGTCAATCATCTGTGAAGGACAGAATTGTGAATCACAATATATACTTGTCATATCAACAGTCTGTCGAGCCCAAGATTTAAATCTTTGAAGCTCCTGGAGAGCTACCATAGGCTGCATGATTACTAGTGTGCATCCATGAAAGCAAAACTGTCTGAAATGCTAATGAATCTCTTTTTATGACTTTATAATTTTTGATTAACTTCATAAATACCTGGTGTCTGTTTTATTTAATGTTTGGCTTTATGAATATCTTAGTACTCTTTGTGGATTTCAATAAAATTATCTAAAAATTTATTCTGTTTATTTGCTATTTTTGAATTGTAGAAATCCAAAATATTTTTAAGCCATGGACTGACTTTAAAAAATTATAATTCATAATAATAATCAATAACAATATTAATTATAAGTTCCAGCATCAAAAAAATAATTAATAATAACCTATTGATGTTAATATTTTACAGTCGATAAACTGACCTTTTAAATATCGAAGCATGAAACTTCAGTCATATGGTTTGATATATTTCTGTCATTTTAAGTTTTATAGTACACATCCAACACTTTGATGGACATAAAAGAAAAGGTTGCAAAATACGACTGACTGATGGTTTCTCTGGGGAGGCTTCACGTCAACACGCTTGAATGTTTCTTCCCCAGTTGGCCACTAGATGGCAGCTTAAGGTCATAAGTCATGTTAGTAAAATAGTGTTCTAAACTCCAGTTTCACTCATTATATGTTTAGCGCATGCCACAGCAACAAAATATTAAAATAAATGTTCCCTTTCTGCTGCTAAGCTGTGCTTTTCTGACGCGTGTTAAAGAAATTACAGAACTTTTTATATTTTGTCCATGAAAAACACAAAGATTTGAACAAATCAATTGTTTTCAGAAGCATGTGTGGATTCTTAAATCCTTTCATTTTCTCCTGTCACACATCAAGCACAAAAATAACAAATTGTGTAGATTTATCACAAAAAGAAAACTCCATCTTTGTGAATAACACTTATTGAGCTAATTCCAGGCTGATCCATTGCTATGTTGTATTTCTTACACTCAACAAGGGTTCATCCTGAAAGTTGATGATTCTTTCTCACTTCTGAAGCATTTATAGGTCAACATTAAGTGGCTTGCACTTAATTAACTTAAAAAGTACTTCAAATCTTTTAAGTCCTGTGGTACACTCTGCTACATGAGCATTTTTCATATCAAAGATTTTCCTTCCTCTCAGTTTTCCAATGATATTCCTGCCAATGTCTGCTGGACAGCTTGTCAAGCCAGATTTTTTCCCAAAGTCAGTGTAAGCCATAACATTATAACCTTATTTTATCATGGGTATATTACTAAAATATTAGCATTTCTGAAATAGATTTTTAGATTTTAATTAGGTTTTCCTCAGAAACACTAAAATTAAAAGAAATAAACATGCCAGATGTATATTCCTCTGTGGGTAGTGATTCTTGCTCTTGCTACCTTTAAAGGATTTTTCTAGAAATACAATCTGCATGATTCAGAAATGCATAATTATGTTAGTGTTTCTATTTAGATTTTAGATGGCCTCCTTCTGAAGGGAAAGTAATTTGCAGAACAGACTTAGTGTTAGTGTTTATCTAGTTTATTTAGAGTTGCTTTGTTAATGAGGCATTGCAAACAGTGAGATCCTTGGCTCCGCTAAGTCTAGACTCGAATTCTCTCTCCTTTCTCTGACCTCCTGCCTCGATCATTCGCTAAAACCAGAGAGGTCTTTCATATTCATCAAGAGAGTGGATCAGCATATCAGCCTGGGAGAATTAGACCCCGTGTTTGATTTGCCACATACACACGACTCATTTGACTTGCGAGCAACCCTCCCAAACACTAACATACACACTTAAGTCAGTCATCACAGTGAAGCTAATAAACTCTCTGCTCCGAAGTAAACAGTGTCAGGGATAATGAAGACTAGGAGAGTTGGAATCCTCCATTTGAGAAGACAAAAAGACAGATAGATGTAATTATTCTGAAATTTAAAACAGGTTTATTGCTGATGGGGGGGGGGGTTTCAGTTTTTGTATTTAGATAGTTGCAGAACAGCATTCTCACTCACACAGAAACACGATAATGGCCGATGATAACCCATGAATAACAGAGTAAATAATGTATCTACAAAGAATGCCCTTCTGTTTGTCTTTACACCCACTGAAACTTTTCACATTTTATTGCACAGCCACAAAAATCTGAAACGTGTAATAAGGTAATAAAGCATTTTATTTTTTTCCTTGAATGAAGGATTGAACAGAATTCTAGGAGATGCTTCTGATATTGTTTCCTAAACTAACCAATATTCCTGACCGTTACATTTTATCGGGTCCTATTTTTCCTTTAGATGTTTATTTACATTTAAACGTCTGTTTTTCTTGTATTAGTGTGGCAGTGCAAAGCGGCGTAGCACCAGTTCACACCTCTTGCCAGGAGACAAATGTAACACAGCAGTTTGTGGGAAAGCAACTTGAGACTCAGCTCCACAGTAGAAGTGAAAACAAATCCCGTCAAAAGGACGTCACTGGACACAAAATGTTTGTCGAGCATTTGTAAAACTAATCTCCAATCTTTTTCCATCTGTGCTGCAGCATTTGTTCATTCCAGTTCAAAAGATTGTTTTTCTCTTGAACTGTTTGGGATACATATAATATTAAATGTGGCAAAAGTTTTTGAAAGATTTGTATTTATTTTCTATGTTGCAGAAAATTAAGATTTGAACTGAGGTTTGCAGACTCAAAAAATTCATGATGCTAAATTCACAATGACTGCTGTACAGTTTTGTTTCAACACGTTATGTATTATTGAGATGTTAGAGACAGACTGATTTATTGTAAGAGTAATTTCTGTTGATCTGGATGACCAAGGCACACAAATAATGAAAATCCAAAACTTTACTTCAACCAAAATCAAATAAAATTACACTGAAGTGGTATTTTGTTACATAAAACCTATTGTAGGGGATGGATAACAATGGGACTCAATAGATGACTTGCTGGAAAATCTGGTTGTTCGAAGCATATCAGAGGTTCAAGGTTCAGTTCAAGAGTTAGAGGAAAAATTACAAAGTATGAACTGCAACTGGGCTCGATGCTTTCTTTTCCTGAGATTAATCAGTGTTTTCATAGTGTTGCATATTGAGGCTTTAAATTGACAATTTGTCTGAAGACTGGTTGCATCTTTTCCATCCAGGTTCTGAGGCCTGAGACCAGCTGCTGGCCAAACAGCCGAAGGTGCTAATCATTCACACCTCCCAGCTGACATGGCACACTTATTCTAACCCAGTCTAAAAGGAGTAAAATGACAGGAAGGAGCAAGACCAAAGTATTCATTAATAAATATTAAGCAAGTTTTTCTTGATCTATGCAAACAGCATTCATATGCAACAAATAATGGGCCTAGCAGCTTAATATTTCATTCAGACTCAGCATACAATGATTCAGTTGAACTATAAAAAAAACAATATTTTTACTTTTGTGTTGCAAATCATTCCAGGGATTCAATGAATCTGAGTTTTCATGATAAACTCAGGCTTAAGGCCAGGCATGTGGCCCCTTCATGATAGTGTTATTTTCAAACACCTGCTGAAGCATGATGCACTAAAAGAGCCACATCACAGCGTGTACTGGAGCATGCCAGTTTCCCATGGGACCCCCTGGCCGAGGTGTCACTACTCCCAGAGCTCCTCAGGACCAGAGGTGGCTCCCAGGAGGTGACGCTTCACACCCCTCACCACATATATTGAGCAGCCTCCTTCTCTCTTCTCAATATCCAGAGCATCCTTCAGCAGAAACCCACTGACAGGCCAGCACCGCAGCATCAACCAACAAGGGGCCCACTGATACTTCAGCAGCGACTATGGAAATGTCCTACTGTTCTCCTCTCCAGCTTCAGGAGAACTCCTTCTTCTTTGATTCTGATCTTCTTCTAGAAAAGTCTCCAGCTTGTGATCCATCTGCAGATCCTGGTTATGTCAGCGCAGGCAGCATTCTCTCTCCTACCTCCTCTGTGGACTCGTTTTGCTTTTCTCCGGTCTCCCTTCAGGCCTTAGGAAAGGAGGAAGATGCCTTGAACTGTTTCCTCTTCAGCAGCACGTTGGAGCCTCAACCATCTCAACAATCGGAGACCGTCCTCAGCTCCAGACCTTCCTCTTCAACTGTCGTCCCCATGAAGAAGTCCAGGTCCAAGTATCCAAGTAAAAAGCGGCAGACTGCAAGCGAGAGGGAGAAGCTAAGGATGAGGGATCTGACCAAAGCTTTGCATCATCTCAGGACATACCTTCCTCCCTCCATGGCGCCAGCTGGACAGCTAACCAAGATCGAGACACTGCGCCTCGCTATTCGATATATTTCGTATCTGTCGGAGGAGCTGGGGCTCTGCCAGGAGGTGCTGGAGCAGAGGAGATCCTCAGACTTTGAGGAGCAGGCCCAAACCCTCAGCCAGTTCCTGGATCAACCAACAGCCATGAACACAGAGCAGCTGTCCTCTCTGCATCATTCATATCAGGTATAGTTACAAATTCTTTTTACATAAATAAAGACACCTCTCTATATATCTCTGTAGTACAGTAAAAATATCATTCTTTGTTGTTTGTTTTCAGGATTTCAGTGCAGGTTACTTCACCAGTGGGGAGTCCTGGAATCACCATGAACAATCAAAAGCTTTGGCATTCACTGGACAGTAGTGAATGCCAGTCTTGTGAAAGTCCTAATATAGGGACTGAACTTCTCAAGCTTCTAATTTTGAACCAATAATTTTCTGTTGTTTGTACATATGAATGTGTATTTATTAAGTTTCCACACTGTGAAGAAAATAAACAATATTTATCATAAAATCCCTTGCTGCTTTAATTACTCCAAACCCAAATGTTCAGCTACACACAGCATTCACACCCAGTGTTTGGCCTCTGATTCACACAAACGTAGCAGCTGTCTGTAGGATGTGTTAAACAGGTAACACTTCCCCTCCGAAGCTTTTCAGGAAAGAGTCCCACTGAGAGAGGTGACAGCTGATCTAGAGCCAGTTAACCGCCATGTTTCTCATTCTGCTTTTAAAGATTTAAAATAAAGCTTTTAATGTAACACAGTCAGAGTATTCACTTGGTAGATATTACACATCACCAAATGTAAAGAGAGGAATATAATTTGTCACAGGGCAGAGTTGCACAAACTCAATGCTTTTCTTACACCTCAGCCAAGGTGTCAAATCATGACGTACTTCTGTAGATATGAATTCCTGAGTTGTAGTTATCATAGTCCTCTGCTTTGCACACATAAAACTAAAATGTTTGCTAACTTTCCTTTACAAAAAAAGTATTGCATAGGGATCATTTGACCTTTGACCAGGCCATTATAACACATTTGGATCACATAGACTTTGTAATCCAAATTATTCATATGTAACTCTAAGTTAAGGATCACTGTTTTATTAAACCTCCCAGTCTCACGCCTTTTTCAGTCTTTGTACAAGTTTTCCTCAAGGATTTTCCTATTTTTAATCTCTATCCATGTGAAGTCTGACGATTACGCCTCTCTCTTTACTGAAGCGTTCCACAACACGTGTCGCCATGGAGGATGGTGTGTTTAGAACAATATTCAGTTTTATAGTGGCATTTTAGACCCTTCAATGCAAGGAATTGTTTAAGACTTTCTTTTTTAATAAATCTTTAATAAAGGTCAGATTTTTTTTCTATTCCACAGCAAATAATTATCCTGTCAACAAATTCTCCCACCTGAGCTGTGGATATATGTGGAAGAGATTAAATTTTTTCTAATGTATTCCTAGTGATTTTTTCTAAAAAAAAAAAGTTAATTCTTCTATTTTATTTTTTATTCCTATTAATTTTTTTATTTTTAATATTAGAAGCTACATTATATATCAATGTGAGCAAATGTGTCAGAATAGAGGCAGACATTTGGCTGGGGTTTAATTTCTGAAAGTGTTGTGAAACTTTCAACCACACATTTCATTCCAAAGAAAAATGCATAAATAGAATCTGTTTCAGGTCATTGTAAATTTCAGCCTCATCATGTAATGAGGCGAAATACCTTCAGGTAAGATATTAAGAAAATTAATGTTGTCAAGGACACCTAAAAAATCTTAACCAGATCTGATTTTTTTTTTCTGATAAAAAGCACACATGTAATCAAATACATTTATTTCATAAAATATTTCTTCCAAAACATTTCATTAAAATGAATGGCTTGGATCACTAAATTCCAGATGTTTGACTGATCAACCAGTCAGACAGTGGTTTCTTGTTCAGGGCCACCCAGTTCATGTTGGCCTTGGTTCTCTCCAGCATTGGATCAAAAATCCCAGTTTCTGAGCCAAGCTTTGCTTCAACTTCTTCTTTGAAAAGCACCAACTACAGAAGAGAGGGTGGGAAAAGCAAAATCATAACATCAAAAAAGCATTTTTTTAAAGAAATAGCATCATCATCTTTATTTGGATTGTGAGGAATTTAACAGTTTAGTTATTAAATCCACACCTGTTTGTATTCATACTCAGTAGAGAATCGTTCTGTCAATCCATTAATGATACTTCCAATGGAAATTGATCCTCGACCATATCTGAAGAAAGAGAAAAAACAAGCAGAATGGTGTCATTGCTTGGACTGACATTCAAGTTAGCAAACAAAGCTGCTTTGAGAGACACTTTATTACAAATGTTTTTATTAATATGTATTTTGCTGATTTATTTGCTCCAACCGCACACGACTGACCCCATCCTGCCAGTTTACCAAAAGAGATGGTTTGGAAACACAAATAACTTGCAAATCTTTGAATACTGAGAAAACTCACTTGTTTATTATGTAGTCCCAGTTGCCTCTAATAAAATCCCAAGCCAGAGGTTGCCCAATAGGGTTACGTGCAATGTAAATAAAAGTATCAGATACATCCTGCTTCCGGATCTTCTCTGGATCCAGGCAGTACTGTAGATACCTGTACAGAATAGTTTTGCTGTTATGAGAATCAAACTGAAACCATAGACTGTTTCAAAATCGCACAATAAGCATTAAGCATCTGTGAGCATGTGTGCGCGTGGGTGTGTGTGTGTGAGTGCGTGTGCATGACAGAGTGAGAGAGACAAACCTGTTTAACAGCCACGGCTCTTTGGTGCAGGACAGAGCAAACATAAGTTTTTCTGCCTCTGAGGCAATCGTGGCGTTCCTATACATCTCCCATGCAAAGTCCCATTCTGCTTGTCCTCCAGCTGCAATCGCATCGCAGTACACTGTGGACTTCAGGTTGGCATTGATGCTGCAAAATTTAGTTAAAATAAACCAAAACTATTCTGTAAAAAAAAATTTATGAATAAGGAAGGTACAAAAGGAAATGTCAAGAATTGGAAGAGAAATGTTGGAGATATTACAAGAGCACCACTTTCTGAAAAGACTTTACTTGTTGACAGCAGGGTTGTTCATCCACTCGTTAAACCAGCCAGATGTAAGTGCTCTGCAGCTTTCCACTCCTGACCGGCAGGCCATCGAGATCGCGTTGATCTGATTGTATCTGGACAGAGACAACATGAGCACAGTGAAAATGCCTGACATTATAATGGTTTAATTCTCAACCAGGGGAACTCAAACCTCTAGTGGTACAAGAGCACATTACAATGGGTACGCGGAAACGTTTAAAATTTTATTTCCCCGATGATAGATATCAATTACACGCCAGACACATATACTGTGGCCTTGTAAAAATAAAATAGGGCTGAGATGACCCAAATAAAAAATAATCTAAGCTTTTTTCATCCAGAGCTAAATTAGTCACAAACAAAAACTGCATGTGGAAATGATGAGAGCAGTGGTATCAGTGCTGTGCAAGGCTATAATGCTATACAATCAAAAGAGACACAGAGAGAGAAGACACAGACACAGACAAAGGTTGCAACACAAGAACCCACAAAAGCAACAGCAGTTAAATATGTATATAAATATAATTGTATAATATAATTGTTCTGGCTGAAACATCCTGATACTCTGGATTTAGGAGAGTTCAGCTGAGTCCAAAAAAGGAAGAAAAAGGTCAAATCTGGACCTAAAGCAGCACAGTGAAAACTATCATTTGTATTTTTCCAATAAAACTCATTGAGTGTTTATTCAGTACAGTCCAAAGGTTTCTATAACTATTAGAAGCTATTAAGGTTCCTAAAAGCTATGTCTCTTCAAACATACCTCACATACTTCAGTAAAAGAGGTGTCACAGCTGTGTCATAATGGATACATTCTTGATTTAGAGAAAATCTTAGGCATGAAAAGCAATAAAGAGAACACACGGTACTGAGATGAAGTCACGAAGGAGGTAAGCTTAAGATGAGCGATACCACGTATGCAATTAAAACTAGAAAGTGCAAGTTGGGAAACATCTGGTATTTATCTTACTGACAACCATCTCTTCCTCCTTATCTGTCTCACTTTTTTTTTCTTTTTCCTGGGAGCAGAAGGGGAGCCAGGGTATAACAATGAGTGTGTCTCACTTGTATATTGATGTAGAACATATAATGTTTGAAGAATGTTATGTGTTCATGAAAGCACACTGTAGATCCAGAGAAGGTGAATAGGGACACATCTGACTTACTTAAATGTCATGTTCTGTCATTCCCAATTTGAAAAGTAAGTGTGTAAATGTGTCCCTTTGATATTTTTCATTCCAAGAACACTGGAGAACAAGCGTTGTGAACTGAATATTCCCAGGAACTGTGATCAACCCAACATGTCAAGGATAGATACCAGAAATACTTTCCCTACAGTTATTTTATCTAACTTTTTGAAGGGTTCCAATAAATTTATGGATTTTTAAATAAACATGTCCTAACATGGGATTCATTTTCTGCCTGAAATTCCAATTAAAATCTGGATGTCTTTAATCATTTCAGTGTGAGATTCATGATGTGAATTAAAGATACAAATACGTTAAGCTTTTTGCATGTTTATACCACTGGTTTGAGCTGTAAAGACATGCAATGTCTGTGCACTGTCTGTGACAAAAGAGCAACGGCTTCAGGGTAAAAAAATAAAAAAAATAATAAAAAAATCCAAAGTATCCTTACTGATCTGTGTGCTTTTCTGGTATCTTTGTCCAATTTACAGTGAGATCTTGGAAGTGATGAAACAAGGGGGTGACCTGTTTTTTTATGTAGGCCTGAGGGATAAAGACAAAACATAAACATTTTAACATTATTTTGTTCTGTGATGATATGAAAAATTCACATTTAATCTTGTAATGTAATAAACTAATATTGTAATGTTGTAAAATATCTTTAACTTTTAATCATATTGAACAAACCTGCATGGGTCCATATAACTCACTGCGGTCAAACATAAGAAAGAAGTAATTCAAGTTACGCCTGGCTGTTTCCCAGGGCATATATTCAACTTCTTTATTCAGGAATGTAGTCATCCTCAGAGCCAGAGTTGTCTCAACTATTTTTGCCCTGAAAATAAAACAAAATTAAACTCCTTGGTATTTTTTTTTTTTGATTATTTTTTTATTTTTTCACTGAAACTGTTAAAAATTAAACGCCAATATTTTTGCAAAAGTGTGACCTCACTTTGCAAGATTAAAGGCATCATCAATGATCTGAGCCCTATTGATCACAGGAATTTCCTAGAAACAAAAGAAAATGTTATGAGCAACATTTTCAGACATTAATGACAGAAACAAAGCAGCAGCACAGCAA